TCCGGACCCAGACGCCGACCTATACGGACCCGGACCTATAATCAATACATTAATAGGGGATTTCAATTTTGACGGGGCGATTCTATTTTAACCGCTGCCGACGGGGCGAAAGAGACGAGTGAGCGATACAGGGAGAGAAACACAGAAGAAGAGATGAGAGAGTGGCAGAGAGAAGTGGAGAGGAAAGTGAGTGAAGAGAATAATTAGCGATACAGGCAGAGAAGACGGAGAGGAGAGTGAACAGGCGTGTTAGCGGCAGACAGGGAGAGACAAATAATGACACATGGCGCTCTCCAAGAAGAGGAAAGTGGACAGTGAGAACAGAGCTTTTAACCCTGAGTGGACGGACTCATTCATGTTCATCCTGCCCACTGGGAGCACAGAACCAGTGTGTCTCATTTGTTCAGAGACCGTGGCGCTCAAGCAGAATACAACAATCAAGTAACTGTATTCAGCTCGCGTTATATTTGAAAAACGAGTAATCTGATTACAGTTACTTTCGTAAACCTGAAGTGAATACATTTTGGAATACTTATGGGAATTATTGGTGGAAAAGTTTCCTCATAAAATGTAATAGTCATTACCAGCAGAACTGTGTGCACACTGCACAGCGCTGCAGCGTGTCTGTGAGCGAGAGAGAGATGCAGCGTGTCGGTGAGGCCCCACCCCCGCACGCAGATCAGAGAGAGAGATCTCTTTTAAAATATATTGAAAGTTAGAAACTAGAGATGGCAAATCCGGATCATTTTACGGACTCAGGGTCTTCTGAGTCAGTCATTGAAGAGATCCGGATCATACGAGTCATTTGAGTCTTATGAGTCAGCATGACCAAGACCGTAGAAATCCTATCGGTGAAACCGAAAAGTTGTTGCATTTCACGAGCATATTATTATTCCATATATTTTGAATATATATATATATTTGTATATATATATATATATATAATATCTGCATGTATATTTTCTATTTCGACATGTATATTTTATATTTTATTTTTATTTCTATTCTTGTATATTTTGTAGTTTTGTTTTATTGTAAAATGCCTTTTATGCTGCTGTAACAACAACAATTTCCCAATTTGGGATCAATAAAGTACTATCTATCTATCTATCTATCTATTAAACTGACGTTATAATTAACCTCCGCTACACAGTGTATTTTGCTTTAATAAAAAATGTTGATCACAAAAAAAAGGGTTATTTTGCGATTTGGCAAATCTGAGTCTGCTGTTGACTCGTGCATGAGGACGAGTCTGCTGGATCTCTGGATCTGCTGCTATATACGGCTCCGAGTCCGCACGAGTCTGCTCTGCTGTGTGTTGCACACACAGTGAGTCAGGATTTGCGAATCCGAGTCTGCTGTGGACTCGTGCATGACGACGAGTCTGCTGGGTCTCTGGATCTGCTGCTATATGGTTACGGCTCCGAGTCCGCACGAGTCTGATCCGCTGTGTGTTGCAGCGAGTCAGGATTTGCGAATCTGCGAATCTGAGTCTGCTGTGTGGACTCGTGCATGACGACGAGTCTGCTGGATCTCTGGATCTGCTGCTATATACGGTTACGGCTCCGAGTCCGCACGAGTCTGATCCGCTGTGTGTTGCAGCGAGTCAGGATTTGCGAATCTGCGAGTCTGCTGTTGGAGCCGTCGGCTCCTCTGAGTCCCCACGAGTCTGCAGGAAGTTTCACTGATCCGCGTCCCCTCCCCTGAGCCAAACGATCACTTCTGGCAGCTATCCTGTATACTTGCTAAAGGGTAGGCAGATGGACTGGGGTACGTTGTAATGTGATTTTACATGTTATAAAGAGAGTAGCGAGTGACGCAATTTATAGTTTTAATTTGTACGTCACACCAAGTGTGGGACTCAAGGACTCGGGTTAATGGAGAGGGGAGACTCGTCATGACCAGCTCATTTCTAGGATCCGGGTTAATGATCCGGATGAATCAGGACTCGCCCATCTCTATTAGAAACGGAGATGGTTCGATAAAATGTGCAAGATAACGTTTATGTAGCATTTCTTTATTGTCGAAATGATGACATTTCATAACGGGATCAAATCAAAGTGAATGGCCTGCTGCTGCTGAATGCATGGGGCAAGTGACTGGAAACAGTTTTAAAAGTTATTACGTCGTTTCAGATAATAAATAATAATGATAATTCATTCTATTTAGGGGCGCCTTTCAAAGCACCCAAGGACACCTGACAATTCATAACATATTCTAAGGAAAGGTTTAAGAGAGTACAAAGAATGCAGTCCGGGTGATGCTTTTTATGTGGGGTGCAGATGAGAGGGAGCTGTCCAGAATGACACCAAGATGTTGTGTTTGAGTTGTGCTCTTGATAAGCCATTAAAACAGTAAAATAAGTGTCTCCTGTTCACCAAAACATACCCATCTGTTATGGAAAAATATAGTATTCCAAAAGTATTCTAAAAGTAATCTGAACACGTAACTGTAACTGTATTCGGATTACTTTCAGAGCCATGTATTCAGTATTCAGTAACCGATTACATTTACAAAGTAACCCTCCCAACCCTGATTAAAAGTGCCAAAACGCCACTATGAGACAAAACACAACGTGTTTGACCAAACATTCCCTCTCAAGTCAGAACTGAGGTCACAAAAAATAAGCAGTCTCAGAGCCCAATATGATCAGTCCACCAGGATCAAAATTAAAACTAAATATCGTTCCAGGGCAGGCTAACCGAGGCTAACCAATGAGCACCTGCATGTGTGTATGAGAATGGCCCTGACACCATTTCAGCCCAGATTTAAACTCCGGGCAGGACAAGCTCAAGCTCAATTCTCGCACTGAACTAAAGAAAAGTGAGTGAGGGACTGCAATATAAGAGGGAAAGAAAGAGAAACTTTAAAACTGTTCAATTGTTATGATGTGTAAAGACTGATATTGTTCTATAATCGGCTGAAACTGTTAAGTCATGATGTGAAACGGTTAACAAAGCTATTTTATTTATTTCTCTATTTTATTTTTAAATGCAGCCCGAGAGGAACATTACACATATCCACAGTATTTACTGTATATCTGTATAGTTCAATGTTCATTGACAATAAATATTGTTGTTTTTTAATTGTACTTTCTTTATTTGATTGGCAGTCAGTTGTTGATTACATGCAGACGTTGATAAAGCTACAGGCTACTTCAATATATATCACACTAATTCATAAAGCAACTTAGACATTTTGATGTTCCGGACCTTTGCATGGGGACATTTTCTCTAACTGGACCTCGTTGAATTTTAGTTGAATACCCCTGCTATACAGAGATGCTGTATGAGAAACCAATGTGATTTTGGAAAATTGCACAATTTAAATCTATTCTAGTAGACCTCAACAATGGAAATATGATCAGTAGAAATGGCCATGACATGGGACCTTTAAATATTTTTTAAACATGTAAACAATTACTTTTTTCATATTTTTGATAATAAAGGGAGCAATAATGGGTTTAAGTAGAAGTTGAATACAAGAACTTACATATTTGGAAATGTTTTGAGTGAGAGGATTCACCTACGTTCTATTATTCATACTTTATTAGAAAGTGATGAAAATATTCATAAAGAATAAACAGACACTGAGCCGAATGAAAAGCAGAAACATCACAACCTTTATTGTTTATGCTGTGTGAAAGTCTTGAACATTAATAAGAAGTGACCTTGAGGTCGTCAAACTGTACAATAAATACAGGTGAGAGTTTCACCTGGACAAAGAAAGGATCCAGGTGACAGCAACATTTTCTACATTAAACACAGTTAACTGAAGAAAATTATCCACTTGACATGAGATCATTGTGTACACAGTACAATAGATAATATATCATGTTTTAATAACAGTGTTATGTAATCATCCCGCTCCTCTCTAATTTGATTGATGCTGTTCATTAATTGAGATTTGGGTATCTGACAAAAATATTTAACATTATAAAATCCCTTTCACTGGGTATTCCTTTAAAATATGAACACACTTTTGGTAAACCATGGGTGAAATGTGTCCTAAACATCTCTAAAAAAGCAATTTAGTATAATACAGTTAATTAGGAAATGAGACGTTGTAAACAGATCACATAGATTTCCAAACAAATATACAGTTTGACACGAGTCTTAGAGGCAGTAGCACCATGTTCAGCATTTTGGAGAGGGACTATTTTCATGTCTTTCCCTCGGATAAACTTCAAAGTTTCTCTCAAAGTTATTAACAGGGTGAGAGTGGAGAAGCTATCAAGAACCAATGCATTATAACAACTTTAAACAATGTTCGTCGAAGGTAGTGTTGTGTTCAATTCCACAGAGCTGCGGTTTGTGAGCTAGCTAGTGGTAGCAAAATCATTACAGCTGCCCAATTAACCCAATTAAATAAACAATGGCTTATTTGTGGCTCTTGTGTAGTGGTGTGTCTATGTCTATTCAAGAGTGGGGACGGAAACACATGTATAACTTTTATTTGTTACAGTGCTTCGTTAACTGCCGGTTTTGCTCCTTCCGTTAGCAAAAATGTGTCAACACTCAACTTTTTGAGCGTTATAAATGTACCATCGAGTAAATCAAAAGCACATTTTCCAAAATATGGCTGTTGTTCTTCATATAGTGCCTTTAATCTGATCAGCCAATCAGGTTACAGGGAGCTGAATGCTGGAAGGAACACACACACACACACACACACACACACACACACACACACACACACACACACACACACACACACACACACACACACACACACACACACACACACACACACACACACACACACACACACACACACACACACACACACACACACACACACACACACACACACACACACACACACACACACACACACACACACACACACACACACACACACACACACACACACACACACACACACACACACACACACACACACACACACACACACACACACACACACACACACACACACACACACACACACACACACACACACACACACACACACACACACACACACACACAGTCTTTGGATCACATGTTCCAGCCTAATCCAATGTGTGTAGCCAGCAGGTAGCACATGCCGATCATACAGGTCATGATCATCATGGGAAATCCTAACCTGCAAGAAGAAAGAAAAAAAACATTAATTTCATGAATTCAAACATCTTATTCCAAAGTTGTGACATTTTATGATTCACTTAACTTGGATTTTTTTCCATGATTATTGCCTGTGTACCTTTACACACAGATTTCTTTACATGACTTTCTCCTTATACTTTTTCGACAAACTAGAATAAGACTATTTTACATATATTTTGATATTTAAACCTCAACATCGCCCTTTTGTATGACGTCATATTCATTCATTCAACATTGTCTGCATGTGTTAATTCAAGCTAAATAATTAAACTTAATGCCAATTGTGCTAATTGTCCAACAAATGCAAGTAAGCCTCCAGCAGTTTCTACGTGCTTGGGACCCGTACTAAAACATTTCTATATCATAAAACTCAACACTTCCAGGTTCACACTGCTGAAAAGTACACTTACGTGCTACACCTTAAAGATAATCATCACCTTTGACGAATAAACTAAAATATCTACTATCTGTTTCCATTTTTTGAAGTGCTTTCCATGTTTTTGTATTCCTCAATTAGCATGGTGAATTTAAAATGTGCCCTCAGATAACTCCAGATCTGCAGATGGTTTGTTATTTGGACGAGCACCGTGTCCTACATGAACACATGGCTGCTCGCGGCCCAGAGATCTGTTCGCCCTCAGTCTCTGACACACATCCAGAAAAACCGTTGGAGATATTCACTGATTTGTAATGTTTATTAGTTAAAACATGTATTTTATTGCTGTTTTGTATATAGTAATTTGGTCATTATTTGGTGTTGTTTTTTTGTTATTAAAGTTTTTATTTATGAATATACATGGTACATAGCTCACATGGTACAGCATACAGAAAGAGGAAGGTCAGGCTACAAAACATGTTAGTTAAGTGTTCCTGGTTAAAAGAAAACAGAAAAATACAAAGGTGTAAGATTACCAATCAGACACTACAGCGATAATCAAATAAAAATAATAACAACAAATTATGCTTGATTAGAAAGATTGTACAAAGGTCCTTTTGTGAGAGTCCTATAGTCAGGCTACTAGTTAGAGGTCAGGCATTCCACAAAGTAATCCCAACTTGCTAGAACCACAGGTCCTCTACCCCTCATTCTTGCCAACATAACCTCATATGATGCTGTTTCATTATAAGGTGTTGTTATTTTAATCAGGCTACGGGAGAAATGGATTACATGTAACAGGTTCCTACACTGACTTCTGCAGCACACACAATGTTGGAAGTGTGTGTGTGCATATTTAATAATTGTGTGTCAGTGAATTACTCTTAATCGCTGTCACTATCCCTTCATTCACATGGAAACAATTTAGACCTTTCCTTTCAATTTGCATGTGGATATGTCAAATGACTGCTCGACTTAGGGACTAATGAAGCACTTAGGCTAATGAGTCCAACATGATGTGGTGCTGAAATGTAATGTAACACAGTCAAAGTGTGTGAGTAGAAATGAGTTGCCAAGGGTGATTATCAGTGGTATGTCGCCATCAATTATCAATGATACGATTAACACCGTAAGAGGGTTAGGGTTGGGCATTTGCAGTCTTATCTTTAGTCAGTTTTTCTTAGGTAAAATATGTCTCGTCAATTATTTCTATATCGGCAAAGTACTGGCCTGAGTTGTTTTCTCCGGTGTTTAGCAATGATTGAGAAAACAATCTGCCAACCCGTTGTTTATTTGCTTTTATGGAATTCTGAAAAAAATAAACAACACCAGGTTGAGTACCTATGACACGCATGTGTGTGCACAATTAATCAATGAATTAATCAACCAACCAACCAATCAATGGTTCAACAAACCAACCAATCAATGGTTCATCAACCAACCAATCAATGGTTCAACAAACCAACCAATCAATGGTTCATCAACCAACCAATCAATGGTTCAAATTGTATAGCCTCTTTCCAACACCTTCACTTGTTTCCAGAAGTTATTATGATCGTGATACATTTTAGCAGCGGCACTCGTAAACTGTATAAAATTGTAACACTGTGCAACTGCGAGTATTCTTTTTTGAGACAGTTTTGATGGACAGAAATAACGCAAAAGGCAGTCTAACACCATCAGAGGGCTATGGGTCCTTTAATGGCGCATTTCCACTACACGGTCGGCCTCGGCCACACTCGGTACGGCTCGGTACGGCTTGGCCGCGTTGGGCCTTAACAGGGCCGACTCACTTCATGCTGCGCTTCCATTACAGTTTAGGAACTGGGGTAGTTACTATAGTAACGCAGTGTAGGCGGAGCCGTGACGTCATCTTCAATGAGAAATCCAGAAACACAACACAGCCGTTAGCTGTGAGCACTCAGAGCTCACAGCTCCTTATATATGTTCAGAAACTCGACAAAAGTTAAACAAGTACAAACCACAGACTGCCTGTGTCATGGTGAATACAGTCGCTGCTGTATTTATGTCTGTATAGGCCGTTGTTGTGAGTGTGGACGGTCGGGGCATATACTGCGTTAGCTTAGCCAATCTCCATCTAGAAAAACACGAATTTTAAAAGGTTTTTCGCCTGCCGTCTGTCTGCAGACTTGACAAAGCATTAATTCATGGTTTTTACTAACCGGTATCAGTATGTTGTTACTTCGGCATCATTTTGAAACGTGTATTACAATTAAATCACGGTCAAATATGTCCATCTTGTTGTAGTTCTAGCCCTCTTGCCAGCGCTCCTCTCTCTAGTTTAGCATACTCAGCCCGACTCAGCCCTGTTTGTTGGCCCCGATAGAACCACAATTTTCTAGGGCCAGAAAAGAGGGGAAAAAGTGGCCCCGCGCCGTGCCGCGCCGTGCCGAGGCCTAGTGGAAGCACAACCAAAAAAGGGGACGGCACGACACGGCACGCTTAAAGCGAGCTACGCGCTGCAATGGAAATGCGCCATAAGAGGATACATAAAGGTCCTCTCCATGGTGCTGGTATCTTTACAATAGGGTCCAACCTACAGCCATTGACATGCTCCGATTATCAACCCTTTCACTAAGTGGTGCAACCCCTCAGGCAGAGGAATCAATGATATCAAACCCTGCAGATCTTTATAGTCATGTAGTATTTAGCTGAGGGTCACAACAGCTCAGTGGGGTGCATTGATCTGCAGTGGGAGAATACAGTTCACATCATACTGTGTACAAAATGACACAATGCCATTACAGGAGACCAGAGGAAACGCACTGTTAACATCAATATAATTTCACATTTCTCTAAAACATTTGTGATGTAATGTAAGTTAACAACTCCACTAACTATATAACAAATGTTTGGTCATTTTTTAAAGCCTTTTTTATGCAGAAATGTTGGAAATGTAACATGAGACCGCTGTGATTTTGGTCTCTGTGGAACAAATGTCCATGTGAGGAATCTCTAAACTCTGATCATCATGAGACAAGCTGCGGTCACCTCTATTTCTGCTGAGTCATGCTCATTTTCCCCATCACAGGTGCAGTGTGGCGGGACGGAGGGCAGAACAAATCGTTTCCACACTACAGCAGAAAGAGGTGCGAGGTTCACCTTGTCTTAAAACTCCCATCATACCTTGTGATCGCACACGTTGATTTAATTGCATGTGATGGGAGCTCTTTGAAAGACCCGATGCAATCTCAGAGACGTTTCTTAGATAAACAGGGGGGATGGCACAATGCTTGACCTGTGCTGGTGAATCAGCAGCATGACTTGCAAAACTAGCCGGGTGATACAGAAGTATTATCTCTATCTCCAATCTTTGGTCAATCCAAAGAGAGTGTGATTGATTGCTGTAGAAGACTGAGGTCAGACATCGTGACAACATCAGGCTTTCAGTATGTGCCCTGTGAATAACCTGCAGAACAACATTTTTATACAATACACAGCTCATGTATTTTTCTATGCATCAAATAACTGTATAAAAAATATGACTATAATCTACAAAAATGAATAAAACAAAAGCCCTCGTTTCGCCTGAGGCCACGCAACAATAACCATATTGCTCATCATTCGACGTTCACAGCGTTAACCATGTTTCACAATGTCAAAAACAACGTTAATCACGCATTTTGCCTAACGTTAACTGCATACCACAATGTGAACCCCAACCTTTTTACAACCCTAAACAAGTTTTCACAAACATTTCTCAACGTTAACGCAACATTAATGCCATTACGCAATGTTACCTGCATTTTACAAATAATGACCATGTGTCACAACATTTACGAAGTGCCATAACATCTTACAATGCTAATCTATGTAAGACTATGTTATTAAACCACGAACATTCTGTATTGAGATACTACACAAAAACTGCTTCTGTTAAGCATTCGGCGAGTATGGATGAAATCACGTTCTAAAATCACTAAAATGCCGTGCTAAACTCTAACAGTAGTTATTTGTAACACGAAGCTACAACCACTAGCAATGTCTCAAACTCTGTTGAGCATCATGTACCATAAAGTCCTAATAGAGTCGTTTTTCATCCCTTCTCCCCAGGTCAACAGTTTGAGGAGAGGAGGATGATCCGGGCCAGGGGCATGATGGGAGCAACACTATCTATAGTCTCTGTGATGGTGATGGTCTATCATAAGGCCTTCGGCTCATCTGGCTCTCTGTATAATGGTGGGAGTTTCTCTCATCAGTCCCAGCTGCCCGGAGCTGCAGACAGACCTCTCCTCTCTTTACCTGTCTGTGTAAACACCTGAGACCCCAGAACTCACTAACACACTATTACAGAGAGACCTTTCCTCTCTTTACCTGTCTGTCCAAACACCTGAGACCCTCAGCACTCACTAACAGACAATTAGAGACAGAAATGCAGCCTGGAGGATGTGGCCATTATCTGTAAATACAGCAGCAGGGGGAGGGAGGTATTCAGCATTTATCCTGCTGTACCTAATGGATGTAATAATAATAATAATAACTTAGATTGATATAGCGCCTTTCAGGGGACCCAAGGTCGCTTTACAGAAAAAACAGGCGTAAAACAAACAAAAAAATACAAAAACAGTCAGACAAACAGTCAGACAGACAAAACAGCAAATAAATTAGGGGCCGAAGGTGAAAGTACAGAAGTATTATAAGCAATAAAGTTGTAATTAATTAATATTATTACTACTTATTATTATGTGCACTGTCACATGCTGTACATTTTCCCACTGTAGGACAAATAGAGTATTTCTGATTCTGATATCACGGCTTACAAATCATATCCTAGACTTAATGAAACAAATTTGTTTGGTACACTTGAGTAAATGTACTTAATTAAATCCCAACACTTTGTTACCCCCACCTGCTGACATTCAAATGAGCCTTTCTGGTGGGACTTGTTGCAGAAAAAATAAATAAAATCAATGTTCTCGCACTGTTTTCTTTAACGAACCTACAGATATACTTACCTAAATCAGGTCAAATATAATCACATGTTATAACCAAGTGTTTAAAACCCTAATCAGACTGTATTCATCTTCAGCTCTGACCCCTTCTCCAACAAAGCAAACTGTGTGTGTGTGTGTGTGTGTGTGTGTGCGTGCGTGCGCGTGCGTGCGTGCGTGCGTGCGTGCGTGTGCGTGTGCGTGTGCGTGTGCGTGCGTGTGCGTGCGTGCGTGTGTGTGTGTTACTCCACAGGAATGAAGGGTGTTAGTGAGCAGGTGGTGGCAGCGTACTCAGCATCCTGCTTCAGATTTAATAACATTTTTTACATCATTCTCACCAGAGACTTCTCAAATCAAGCCCTGAGTGTCAATTCAATCAGTGACACAGTCAATCAGTCAGAGTTTGTTTCTGCTGAATAATTTTGCACAGGCTTACACACAAAGACGGGAAAACTCAACAAGAATGGATTTTTTTTTTAGGCCGCTAAAAGCATTCAGTGTATATAACCTGCAGTCATATCAAGGTCTTGCTCAAAAAATGATTTAACAGCTGAAGACCTGAGTACAACTTGCCCTTTTTTGGCAGATTATTTGCCATTTTTTGCAACTACCCGGGAGAACATTTAGTTTTTTCATCCTATAATAACTATTTTTCTTTTTTCCAGCTCTTTTTCTCAAGTATTTTTAAGAATGACATAAAGGGCAGAATTATTCATTTATTTGTCATGGCACCACTGTCATGTCATCCAAAAGGAATGAGACATCGTGGATAATCACTGAAAACATGTCACCTACTGTATACTCACTAAAAGTCTGTGCAAATGAAACCCCTTATAATATATGTATGTATGGATGTGCTTCAGTGACCACTAACTCTGAGAAGATGCTAATCATTTCACTGCAGCTGCATATAGCAATTAACGCGGATCATTATGAATATTAATTATTTGCAAAAAGATCCTTTTCGACTGTTTTCCGCTGCCTTTTATTGAATAAAATAACTTTATATATCTCACTGCCCGTCTATTTGAGCCTAATATACAGTACAGTATTTTCTTGTATTTTGATGTCTGAAATATATTTAAAAGTAATCTTATATTTGTAACGCCCTCTGATTTGCCTTGTGTTAAAATGTGCTTGCTTTGCCTTATCTTACACACTGTGCTACAAATGTCTGCATACAGAAAGCACAGGAGCACTGTGACACTCATTTTACAAAGTGTTTCTCTTTGTCATATTTGTGTAAAAGTACTCAACATTTCTCAGTGCCCTTACAGTGGAGAGGACACACAGAAACCTGATGACATTAACTGTTCTGTGCCAAGCTATTTCCTGTTTCTGCTGACAAACGGATCAACCTGATGTTTCTATTCAGAGTGAGGTCACACTGTCACCTTTAAATTCCTTTTCCTGCTTTGACAGGAAAGAGCATCACCTATCAAACAGGATAAAGCTTCTCACAAACACAGGTCCTCAGATATTATACTTAAAGTGGACCTATCATGCTATATTTGAATAATATATTGTAGGGCCATACCTATAAGGTATATTTATACATTTTCTTTTTCAAAATACCAAACAGATCATGCATTTTAGCCATGCCTCATTTCGCTCAATTTTGCTCTCCTCCACCCTGTCTTTGCATGCGCTGCAGCTGACCACGCCCCCCTGCAAAGGAGGGGGCCGAGTTACGAGCGTCATGTTACCATGCTGTTACCATGCTGTTACCATGCTGTTACCATGCCACGGCAACCTCTCATTCCCCTGATAGGTGGAGAGTTGCCCATATAGGCGGAGCTCCTCGTTCCTGACGTCAGAGAAATGTTCAAATCTGGATCAGTTTTTATCAGATCCGTTGCAGCCCCTTTTTTAGAGATTTGGGTATGGAGGAAAATAGAGAGGGTTGTGTTTTCTGACACTTGGTGAGTTCCCTGGAACACCGGGGACACATATTCATGTATAAAAGACGTACAAAAGTGCATTTTGCATGATAGGTCCCCTTTAAGTAAAAGTAGAAGTAGAAGTCTGCCGATATGTTGTGTTGTGCAAGAGAAATCTTACTTGAAGAACTCGACGAAGGAGAATCCGTATCCGTGTTGTTCGGCGATTCCCGCACACACGACGTTAGCTGAAGCTCCGATCAATGTGCCGTTTCCTGAGGAGCAAAACATTAATAACAAACTGTTCATCTAAATGATTTGTTAGTGAGGAACAGTAAGTTTAATATCACATAAAACCTGTGGTGGAAGAGTTACTCAGACCTTTTACTTAAAAAATAGAAAACTCCTTAATTGGAGATGTTACTTAAGTAGAAGTACAGAAGAAGCTTTATTGGAAGAATTTACCTAAAATATTAATGGTAAAAGTATTTTTCTTCCGTGTATTTGGTTGTTTTGTACTACAAACAAAATATGGACGTACTGTATGATACTATATACAACAAATAAAGCCTTTCAATTCCGACTTTTATAAAGTTTTATTATTTTCTCATCTCCTGAGGGCAGAGTGTTGACAGCAGCTTGATATCGAGACCTCAGAGAGTCAGTGTGGAAACGTTCTCCTGCAGATCGATACTGTCACAGAACAGAGGGTCTAACTGTAACTCTGACAGCTGTCTGACTCTGTGTCCTTCACCAAATATACTTAAAGTACCAAAAGCAAAAGTACTTGTTATTGCAGCATCCCATAATCCCCTCTGTTTCAGCCCTGTTTCAAAAGTGCTGATTCTCTGTCTGTTACTTCAGATGAAAATAAGGAGCCCCTCCCCACGCCCCTCTGAGAGATATTTGGTTACAAAGAACACAATGGTGCTCTAGGAGGAGATTCAGGTGATAAGGTGGGGGGGGGGGGTTACCTTGGTTGGTGATTGGCTAATGGTTACACAAGCCAAAAAAACGTTATGACATCATAAAGTGGCCAAAATCTGATCAGCTCATTTTCAGACAGGTTTTTATATAAATGGATCAGGACAAAAAGAGAGAGAATCTTTGTTCCTGAAACGTTCAGAATCTCTTTCCACAGAGGGGACACATGTTGATGTAGAAGAGACATGAAGAAGTGGATTTTGCATAATAGGTGACCTTTAACCAAACAAAGGTTTTTCTCTTAAGTCTGCTTTGTCTTACCTCCAAGACAGGCCCCCATAGCGAGGGCGTAGATGAGCGGCTTCACCGGCAGGTTCACGTCTGCGTCCTGACTCAGGTTGATCAGAACTGGGATCTGTGATACAGAGAGAGACCGGAGAGGTGTCATGATATTGTCTTATGTGTATTATTTTATAGAACAATCTTCTTCTTGTGTCTACTCTTGTTTCACTTCCTGTTTTATGTTGGGATATTGACAAAAATGTTCGAACTATAGTCATATTTACTCACAGTGTACCTTTAATTAAAAGTATATACAGTATGGTACCCCTAAAGTTGCATGCATGTTTAAATAAATACGTTTCAAGTTTTAATTCTAAACCAGATTTGGAAGAAGTAATAAATGGCGGTGACTAGTCCTGCACTTACAAAGGCGACTTGTTTGAACTGTGCGTGTGTGTGTGTGTGTGTGTGTGTGTGTGTGTGTGTGTGTGTGTGTGTGTGTGTGTGTGTGTGTGTGCGTGTGCGTGTGCGCGTGTGCATGTGCGTGTGCGTGTGTGTAACATTACATTATCAGCCTCTCACCATGGTGGCAGTGAAGGGGATGTTGTCGATGAGGGAAGAAGCGAGAGCAGAGACCCACATCACCAGGATGATCGCTATCGCCAGCCTCTGGTCCTCTGGCACCGACTGAGAGGAGAGAGAGTCACACACTTAGATAAATGCTGCCTTCACTGACACTTAAACCATCACCGATTTGAATAAAACACACTAATATGTTCTGTCTTTAGAACTGATATGACCACAGGTTGCCTTGAGTTTTATCTCTGCACACAGCGAGGTCGATTCTGC